GCAGACCTGGCGTCACCTTCACCAGCGCCAAGGGCGAGGTGTTCTCTGTGCTGGAATTCGCACCCTGTGAGTCACCAGTCACCATGCATGGCTGTCCTTGCCCATCCCCCAGATTTCCTGTCTCTGCTGGCACACCTTGGTCCTGGGGGATAGTAGTGGGAGGCCCCACCCCCAGGCTCCGCTCCATCCGGGTCTGACTGTCCTCTCCCCTGCAGCAAACCATTCTTTCAAGAAGATTGAGTTCCAGCCTCCAGAAGCCAAGAAGTTCTTCAGCACCGTACGGAAGGAGATGGCCCTGCTGGCCACCTCGCTGCCTGATGGCATCATGGTCAAGACTTTTGAGGACAGAATGGCAAGTGGGCTGCTGGGAACTTAGGGAGGCGGGCACAGAGGCCATGGGACACTAAGGTGTAGCAACACTACCTTGCCATGTTTCCAGACATGGTGGCTCAGGCACCTGAGGTATCAGAGCCCTGCAGCCACATGGACACCCTTGTAGGAGCCAGGTGGTCCATCCTTTTAAAAGAAGGGTTGTATCCATGTAGTTCTGAAAGATCGGACCTGGTAGGAGTTCCGCCGCCTTTGCTATCCTTCTCCATTCCCACAAACTCAAGGCCTTTGATCACCCTCAGCAGCTCCTTCCAGAGGACCTTTTCTGAATCAGCACTGCCCTCTTGGTATTACCACAGCACATGGTCCTTTGTGCACTTCGTCATTACACACAACTGCCCTTGTAAATCCATGCCAGAAACTCACAGTGGTCCTCCTGACTCAGCATCCCAAGTGCTGGGATTACAGGCCCAGCCTTGCTTAAGGACCCCAGGGACATCGGTTTTACTTGGGTTTAGTGAAAATTCTTCTAGGAAGTCCCCAGCCTGGCACAGCTCAGCTGAGGGAGTAAGAGAAACAAAACAAAGCAGACTTTTCCAAAGTCCTCAAGGCGTCTTCAAGGGCACCTCAGACCCCATACGAGGGTCCTTTTCTCTCCATTTTCCCAGTTACTGTCTGCTCTACTCTGGTACCCTGGCAAGGGTGCACACATGGAGACACAATGCTTGTTTCCTGGATATCATAGCTCCATTGACCTCTGCCAGTCTTTGCCTTCAAGCTCAGATGCTCAGTAGATGCTCAGTACCAGTGCCATCCCTCCAGTGTGACACTAAACCCCATCCCCATCCTCCAGTGTGACACTACACCCCCACCCCTATCCTCCAGTGTGACACTACACCCCCACCCCCAACACCACCCCAAAGCAGGTGCTGTTTGACTTAGCTGTCTCCTTGGCTCTGGCTCTGGAGTGCTGCCCTCCTTCCTCGGATCTGCGCAGTGCTCTGGAAGGAAGGGAGAGCAGACTCCACACGCCCTCCCTCCTCCTGTGATCCTTCCAGGACCTCTTCTCGGCACTGATCAAGGGCCCCACTCGGACTCCCTATGAAGATGGCCTCTACCTATTTGACATCCAGCTTCCCAACATCTACCCTGCGGTGCCCCCCCACTTTTGCTACCTCTCCCAGTGCAGTGGCCGCCTGAATCCCAACCTGTATGACAATGGGAAAGTGTGTGTCAGCCTCCTAGGTACCTGGATTGGAAAGGTGAGTGTGGGCCCCATTGCCCAGTAGAGCTGGTGTCCATGTGGGACAGACCTAAACGTTCTGTTTGTGTTTCAGGGGACAGAGAGGTGGACAAGCAAATCTAGTCTTCTCCAGGTGCTTATTTCCATCCAAGGTATGCTGGACTCTGGGCACATTGACAGTCTGTTCTCTTGAGGGTCCCAGGCGAGCCTGCCCTCGTGGGCCTCCTCCACTCACTAAGGGACTCTCTGTGGCAGGTCTGATCCTGGTGAATGAGCCGTACTACAACGAAGCCGGCTTTGACAGTGACCGGGGCCTGCAGGAAGGCTACGAAAACAGTCGCTGCTACAATGAGATGGCGCTGATCCGTGTGGTGCAGTCCATGACCCAGCTGCTGCGACGGCCTCCGGAGGTCTTCGAGCAGGAGATCCGGCAGCACTTCAGTGTGGGTGGCTGGCGGCTGGTGAACCGAATTGAGTCCTGGCTGGAAACCCACGCCATGCTGGAGAGGGCCCAGGCAGTGCCCAATGGGGTTCCTAAAGACAGCAGCTCTCTGGAGCCCCAGGCTGCCGCTGAACTCTCAGACTCCGGCCGTGAAGAGCCTGAGGATGTCGGGATGGCCCCTGGGGAAGCGTCCCAGGGCTCAGACTCAGAGGGTGGTGCTCAGGGCCCCGCCTCAGTGAGCAGAGAGCACACAGAGCAGACTGAGACAGCCCCTGATGCATCAGCACCTCCCAGTGTTAGACCAAAGAGGAGGAGGAAGAGCTACCGCAGCTTCCTGCCTGAGAAGAGTGGTTACCCTGACATCGGCTTCCCCCTCTTCCCACTCTCCAAGGGTTTCATCAAGAGCATCCGGGGGGTCCTAACACAGTTCCGTGCTGCCCTGCTGGAGGCAGGCATGCCGGAGAGCACAGAGGACAAGTAGCTACCCTGGCTTGAAAGGGAGTGTCATGGTGGGAGAGGTCAGCCGCTGCCTGCTCCCTTCCTTCCTGAGATCTTGTCCCTCTTCCTGCCCCTTCCTGTCCCCAGTTGGAGCCTTCTGCTGCCCTCTCCTCCCTGCGGCAAGTTTGATGCTGAAGTGCAAGAAGTGTCCCAAGATGCTGCGTTCTGTCCCTCAGTTATGTTTCAGAGGCAGGCACCTGAGGCACTGGGAACTCAGGTTCCCATGGCCCAGGCAGAGTGTCCTGGCACTTGTTCCCTAGCTGTCCCTTCTCAGGTCAGAGGCGGGGTGTTGAGGAACCTGCAGATGGCAGGAGGGTGGACGTGCCTTGCATGAAGTGTGGCTGCTCCTGCAATGCTCCCGGTCCCTCTCCTCTCCAGCTTGACAGTAGCCTCCCCACGTCCCAACCCTCCTGCTGCCACCAGGTCCTGTTCCCCTTACCTCCATCCCCTGGAGCTGTGGCTGCTGTGGCTGGCTGTGGCCGCCAGTGCGTTATAGCCCTTAGGCCTATTGCACTTACTCTCTAAGAGAGGTTAGGAGTAAGCTAAGGTTCAGAGTGACACCAGGAAAGGTGGTAACCCTCACATAAACAGTTGAGGGCATTGTGCTGCTTGGAAAGAAATGGCTATAGGTGCCTTGCTCTTCCAGTCCAAGATGGCGGCAGTCCTGCCCAGACCCGCCTGTATGGGTGGGCTGTTCTGTCATCTGCTCCATTCAACCTCATTTTATCCCCACTGAGGTGACAGGAGCATCTGCACAAACCAGGCCAGTGACAAGGGCCTCTCCCATCCAGTGGCTCAGCCTCCAGTCAGCCTTGGCTTATAGACTCTCTGCAAGGGCAATCTGAGGGAGGAGGCTGGACGGCAGCAGGCGCTCCACCCCACCCCCACAGGCCCAGAGGTTTACAAGTTTCTAAGCTTTTGATAATGTGAAGCTCCAGGTAGAGAGGATGCCGGTGAGCACATTACAGCTCTGTCATTTCTGGTGTATGTAATATTTAAGGTTGAAAAATAAATCTCAAAAGCAAAGATGCTAATAACTTACTAGAAAAAAAAAAGACAGACAAAATACAAAACACACAAAAAAAGCCAAAGCATGATGCGTCTTGTCAGCCTTAAGTGGGCTCCACACCTGTGCTGTGCCAGGACTACCGAGGCAGCAGAGCCTTGGGAAGACAGGCAGAAACTGGAACACTCACCAGGAACCGGTACCTTGACATGGGGCCTGGTGGGGCTGTGCTGCCCAGGCCACTGTTCACGTGGCGATGTGAATGCCTACTGCTTACAATACCTGTATAAAGTGCTGTGTGATTAAACTTTTTTTTAACTTGCATTTTTTTGGGGGGGGGGGTTAGCTCATTAACAAAAGAAGATGGCACCATTAAACCTGCCTCTGCCATTCATTCAGGCTGCTGTTGCCTTCTGTGTGCCAGGACCCGCCCTCCCATACCACTTCCCCAAGGGAGACTCTGGCGGTGGGTCCTGGCCTCCACGGCCTGATGCCTTCATCTCTTATCATGGAGTCTATTGGGGTGGGCGTTGAATATCCAGACAGCAGTCACCTCTCAACACTGGGCAGCGGAGGCCAGTAGCCTACAACTGGCTATTCAGCTCCTTCAGGATTCTTGGGGAACTGATGACCATCTAGCAATGGTCAGGTGTCAGTGTTCTGGGCTCCAGGCCAGAATGGTTGCCCAGGTTAGGGGATTGGCATCTGCCCTGTCCCATGGCTTTCTTTCCATTCCTGCCTAAAACTCCTGAAGTGCAAGCTGAGGTGTCCCGGGTGAGCCTGGAGATAACTGGTGGGTGTAACTGTCATCTTTCGGTTTGGTCAGAAGAGTCCCTTCCTTGAGATGTAAGCAGATCTTCCCCTCATACCAAAGTGCAGGTCCACCAAAGCTCCCCCTTGGGCAGGAGCACAGGGGACTCAACCACACTAGAACATCCACACAGCCTACCCAGGTGGATGATGGCTTCCCTGTAGCTACAGGAACACCCACCACATACTATGCTCTAGCACTTGACAAGACCACTTGAAATTAGGGCAGGATTGTGTGTAAATGGCCCTGGGGGAAGTTCCAGCTTCTGTGAGGAACCCAGCAATTGACAGTACATAGTAAGGAGACACAGTTGATCTGAGGTTCACAGTCAACAGGACCCGCCTTGAGCCTTCTAACTCAGGAACAGTTCCCAGCTCTGTCCACTCTGACTGCCCTGTATTTGAGGTTAGAGGTGGAGCACAGAACCTGAATCTTCCCATGTGTAAGGTAGGGCTGCTGGCCAGGCTGAGGGCCTCTGCAGCTGAAGTGGATCTGATCACCAGTCCCTAGGGAGTTGAAGTGCCCAGCACCAACATGACTGTTCCATGGGATATCACTGTCTTTAGCTAGCTACCAGGGACCCTGGGTTCAATCCCTGACCACAATTCCATAGCCCTTGCTGGTGTTTAGACCCCATTCTCTTCCCAATCCCCAGGATAGGATCAGCAGGTTGGAAAAGTCTCTTTATTTGAATTTGGTTCTCAGGGAAGGGCCCCAAGAGCAATAAGGAGCGCCTTCTATATGCAACTGGCCCAGCCAGTGGGACTCTACCCGGGGTCTCAGTCTAACTAGAGGGCAGAGCCTTTCTTTCCAAGACGTAGTCCCACCTTTCAGCTTCCTCTACAGGGGTCCCCACCACCTCCTTATGAGCTTTAGAAATAACTTCCCATACCAGGAGATGGTTGCAAGGGAGGGTTCCATCTCAGTGTAGGTGTAGTAGACAAAGGCACAGTCATAATGGTTCTGGAGGTGGCCTCCGCTGGGAGTCCCAGCCAGACGGGGTATCTCTGCTGCCACAGACCATCCAAAGGTAGTTTGGGTGCACCTGGCCCTGCACAGCGTCACATGTCATCAGCTCTCCATCCACAGAAAACACTCCCCTCTGGTCCTTGGGCTCCAGGCGGAAGGCAACCACAGGCACATGAACCAAGTACGGACAGTCAAATTCCATATGCCTGCCCTTCTGCATGGCCAGGAAGAGGCGCAGCAGCATGGCCCTTGACACTCCTGCTCGTACATAGAACAGATGCATAACACCCGCCTCACAGCGGCCCATGGGTGCTGCAAACATCTCGGTGCTCAGGTGGGTGTGTAGCAGCACCAACACCAGAACAAAGTCCTGTTGTGGTACCACGGTCCAATGAGAAGGCACTGGCTCTTCCAGAGGAACAAGGTATGTGTCGACGGGGCCCCTCGGCGCCAGCGTGGAAGCAGGCATCTTAGAGGCAGTATTTCCTGCAGGAAGGTAGGCCAGTTGGCCTTGGTAGATGCGCAGGCTTGCTAGTCGAAAGAAGGTGCCCACCGTAAAACGGATCTCCCCCAAGCGCCTGTACTTCTCGCTCTCCAGGTCCACGTCAGCAACAAAACCCCAGGACAGACTGAGTACAGAAAAGAGCCGCAGACCAGAAGCGGTGTGCAGGGACAGCAGATTCATGGGTGACAGGCGCCGGCGGCATAATAGCAGCGTGCAGTTGATCAGGAGATCTTCATTAGTCACTTGCTCGTACCTGCAAGGTTAAAGGTCAGATGGGACAGGAGCCCCCATGCATCCTCTTTGTGTTCCTTTTGGGGAGCGGGGGCTAGCAGAGCAGCAGTGGTCCCTAGGGAGCTTCTAGAGCCAGTGACAGCAGATGAAGGCTCTGTAGGGCCTGTCAACTGAGGACGAGGCTCCAGAAGAAAGCAGAGCTTCCCACGGGAACTTAGAAAATGGCGCCCACTTTGACTCTCAGCTCTCACCCAGCGTAGTAGTTCAAGGAAGCTGCCAGTGCATTGCCAGAGCCTCCGGGGAGGCTACACAGGGGTTTCTGGATGGCAGTCTCCCAGTCAGGCCGTTCCATTAGCCCGTTCACCACCTGTTAAAGCAGAGCGTCTCAGTCCTGGAAAAAACCATCCCGAGCCCTCTGGGCCAACCTCTAGCTCAGCCCTTACCTCATGCATCAGACCATCACCGGACATGACTGCCAGGGCATCCCAGCAACCCAGCTCCGCCGCACACACCAGCTCCCTGGCATGGTTCTGCCGTTCTGGCGGAAGAGTTGATGTTCTCAGAGCTGGCTTTCTGGCAGGAAATGATCCCTTCACCCTCCGGGGTCAGTACTCACCCGTGAGCATCAGTTTAAAGGATATCTCGGCCTCCTCCAGAAGGGGCTGCACACGGCTCTGGAAGAGCTGCAGAGCCTTGCCCTTGCCCCCCCGGGGGTTCAGCAGCACCAGCACTCTGCACGGCCGTGGCAGCAGTCCCCGAGGGCAGTGTGCTACAAACAAAACACGACAAAACCAGATGGGGCTGGAGAGATGGCTCAGTAGATAAGAGCACTTGCTGCTCTTCTAGAAGACCCAGGTTCAGTTCCAGCACCCGAAAGGTGGTTCACAGTAGTCCCAAATTCCAGTTTCAGGGGATCCCTACGCCCTCTTCTGGCCTTCAAGAGCACCAAACACACACGTGGTGCATATACATCCATGTATGCTGTCAAAACACTCAAACACATAAAAATAAACCTTAAAACAAAACCAGAATGGCAATGTCCACAAGCAGTCGCTAGAGGGCCGAAGAGAGCTGCAGGAACACGGGAGGAGGCTCCCAGATCAACACAACCCTGCGAGAGGAAGCGGCCGCCCACAGGTTGTCTGGGAGTGGGACACCGCAATACCTCTTTCCTTGGCCGTCCTCGCGGGACAAAATGTTTCTTTCGAGTGACCCTTAGGCTTCTTTCTACTCTCCATCATTTCTTGGGGAAAAGAAATGATGGTACCCTCTCCCAGTCAGGTACCCCACAAACCTGGTTCCATAGCCAGGTCCCGGGGCTCCAGCTGACAAGGGGCCACCGGTGCTTCCCCCGCGCTGCTAGAGGTAACCGCAGCTCCTGCGTTCAGCTCCTTATCGGTGTTGCCCAGGAGGATGTCTGGCGACTGGCTGTGGGGCTCGCCCTCTCCACCTCCCTGGGCTGTGAGAGCGCCCTCGTCATTCCCCGAGGCCGCCAGATCTGGGGGACAGGAGGAGAGAGTGGTGGGGTTCGCTGCCTGGGCTCCATGCACGTTGGGACAGAGTGCCCAACCAGAGGTCCCGGACCTCTTGTAGGATGCTGCATGCGAGTAAATCACCGTGGGTCGGGGATCTAGCTTTCCGGTCTGAGCTTCCCACCCCACGAACGTTCTGTTCCAGGGGACACCGGATTAGGGCCCGACGCATGAGTCAGTGACCCGTGGCTCTCTTCGTCGGGTCGGCTCTTCACCCTTTGTGGTTGGTGGAGAGTCCAAATGCATAAAAGAACTGGAATTGCGAGGCACGTATTCTGGGACGAAGAACCCCGTCGCAACCTGCCCAGCCGCCCGGTCCCCCGCCTGAACTCCGAAGTCGCGGAGTCTTCGAGTCTCCAAGAGGGTGGGGGGTGGAGGTGCACGCCGCGCTCGTGAGAACAGTGCCCGAGTCCCGCAAAACCTGCCCGTGCTGGGTGGACCCATAGCTGCTGTCTGCCCTGCCGGGGCGCGAGGGTGCACCCTGAGTCTCCCTCACCGACCCACGAAGGCACCGCCAACTATGGGAGAGCGCGCGCGGGGGAAGAGGGGTCCCTACCCAGTCTGTCCCTCTAGCGGCCAGTGGCGGAACGCAGCTCCTCTCGGGCTCAGCCCCGCGACAGAGGGACAAGTGGAGCACTGGGCTGACACCGACTCCAAAGGATCGCTCCCCTCCAGCCTCAAACTTTTTGCTCAACTTCGGGGCGGCGCGGGAGGGCGCTGAGCCTCTGGGCCGGCCTGGCCACGCCCCGCGTTCCTTGTGCTCTCGGGGTGGAACCAGAGTTCCGCGCCGCCCTGGTCCCCCATACGCTCCGGATCTCACTGTGCGGCTCCGAATACGGTCGCCGCCACCCAGGGCTCGGCCACGCACGGATGAAGGGCTGGATCCCCGGACAGGATTGTGCACCCCCCGTGCTGGAGGAACAGCTCAGGAAGTCTGCACGGCGTGGGGTTCCGAGCCTGAAGCAGCGCCTCGGCGGAGCGCGAAAGTGGGGGCGTAGCCCAGATGCCGGCGCCCAGCATTCGAGTGGGCTTCGGGCACGCGTGGTTCTGCGCTCGCTGCGGACCCTGGGCTGTACCTCGAAACCGCTGCTCACAGTAGGGAGGCAGAGCCTTTTTGGAGTCGCCTAGCCCTAGCCTGATCAGAATTCCATACCCAGACCCTTCCTGCTGGCTCTGGGCCAGGTCAGGTCACCCGCCACCCACGAGCTTCTCTTCCTCCCCTGCTCCTCCGTGGTGCCTTTACTTTTTAGCTCCAGATGCAGCCGCCGGATCACTCAGCCGCGGAACCCGAAGCAGTCTGGCACGCCTTTCGGGAGAAAGCTGAACCGGTTTGGGGACGAAGTCGGGAGGAGGGAGCCTTGCCAGCAACCTCCATTTCCCCCCCAGCGAACACTATCGAGGCCTGGGATGCTGCCTGCAGCGGATGATCCGGATCCACGATCCTCACTCACCAACTGGAGGAACCCAGCAGTGTGGACCGGGCAATGGGGGCTCTCATCCGGATTGGAGAGGCTAGCATGGGGGCGTGGTCCCACCGCTCCCCACCCCTTCGGGCTAACTCGGGGTGAAAATGCACACGCGCCGGGGTGTATGCGCTTCGGTGTAGATAGACAAGACGCATGGTTGTGTAAGTGATATATTTCATGGCAAATGACCTGGAGGTGTCCGTGACTAACCGGAGTCAGTCAAATCCCTGGACGATTATTAGCGGAGACTGGGAAAAAGCAGCTCCCAAATCCGACTTGGTGACCTACCCAGGTAGCACCAAAACAGACACCAAACTCCCAAGGAAGCTGCATTGGCTTAGCTCCAGTTACAGAGAACTGGCGCGCCCACACCGGCCCCCGCGCGACCCCACCCACCTCTCTCTTTGCATCGCTTCTTAAAGTCCAGAAGACGCGAGTCCCGGAGGGAAGCGGACCCAGATAAGAAAGCGCTGCAGTAAACTAGGTCACTCCTTGAAGGTGGCTTCTCTCTCAGAGGACCCTGGAGTCCCCAACCGAGTTTCTCACTATTTTAGGGGTCCCCCGGAGGGCCAGCGGCGCAGGCTGGACCTGGCGTTCCGCACGCGTCAGTGCAATACACGCCTTGGCTCTGTACCGCCGCGGGACAGCCTGACCAGATCATGAACGCCCCGAGTGCCTTCCGAGAAGGTGACTCAGCGACACGCTCACGGGTGGAGAAACTCCCGGAAACAACCAACCAATCAAAAAAAAAAAAATGAAGAGTTAGAGGGAGCAAAGGCATCATTACCCACTCCTCGGTGCCGCGACGCGTGGCCACTAAGATCTGGTCCTGCACCTACCCCCATCCCCGGCTTCCCACCTCACACCCCAGGAATCCAGCGCGGACGAGGAGAGCAGCTCTGCAGCCGCAGTGCTGCGGTCACGCGCTGCGGGGACGCGAGCCGCGGTGGGAGGAGGGGGCTCTCCGGGAGAGCCAGGCTCCCTGCCGCTCGCTCCCTTGTCTACCCTGAACCTCCCCTTCCCAGAGACCTAGGCACCAGATCTGCCATTGATATCTAGCCGACTCAGGGGGGAGGCTATTCTCCCCGAGATTTTGAGCTTGGAGGGGGGGCTGGCTGCCCAGACTGTAGGCAACACCCTCTTCTGCTCTCCTACAGTTTGGGAAAGAGAGTCTATCAAGCCCGTAAAGGAAGTCATTAGCAACTAGATAGGAGAAACTGAGGCATGGGAAAGGAAAGATCAGGCTGTGTGTAAATTCACGCTCAAAATGCCGACCTGGATCAGGGTCTCGCTTCTTTGAGGCCTGGGGCTGGAAGTTCTCACATTCGGCAGGCAAGCGCGGAGCAAGCAACCGTGAGAGAGAGCAGAAGCAGCCTGCAGGACATTTTATACTTGGGCCTCAGGGCCCGGTTCCCTTTCTGCTCGGAAGAGACCCAGTGAGAGGGGGGTTCCAGTCTGGCCCTGGTTCCAGTCGGCACAATGGCTCCTCTGTGTCCACTGCGGCCTCATCCTCTGGCCTCCTCACCTCTCTGGTCTCTGCCTCTCTCGTACTTGTTCACCTCCCCCATCCCAGGCAAACTTTCCAGACCCTTTCCCTTCCTAAAGAACTTTATCCCATCTCCAGAAACCGCCGAACAGCACCGCTGGCCCTGGAGCAGGGATTGGAAGAGAACAAGATGTTGGGTTTTCTTTTGTGTCTCTTGAAGGATTGGGAGGTGAAAGGCCTTATGGGAGCTGTCAAACCAATTCCCAGCAAAGCTTATAACAAACCCCAAGCCCTTCCCCTAGTCTAGGAGGCTAAGTACCACCAGAACTGACTCTGTGTTGGCTAGCCTGGTGTACTGTTCGCCAAAAACAGCCACCTCAGGAATCCAGGAGCCTGAGAATCTCCAGAGGAAAGAAACAGTAGCTAGCTCCAAGCACTCCCCATGTGCACAAGTGCACAAGCACACACACACCACGCACATACACACTAACCAGCCTTTGTCCAGCAAGGCCCACCTGGCCTTTCCTTGGGCCCATCTAGAATTCTGACTTAATTATCAGCTCAGCCTCAGTTCCCAGGCCATACCTGTCTCACAGGTGAAAGGAGTTGTTTTCCTTCCTAGGCTCCTCTGGGCAGCTTTCCCAGAGAAAAACACCTAAGCGCCCCCAGCAACGCCACCTCCCCCCACCTTGTGCTAGAGAGGAGACAAGAAGTTATTCATTAGACCAGGCCTCTGCACCCAGGAATTCAAGGCTGCCAAGTGGCCAAGTTTAAATTGGTTTGTATGTGTGTGTGTGTGTGTGTGTGTGTGTGTGTGTGTGTGTGTGTCTGTGTGTGTGTCTGTGTGTGTCTGTGTCTGTGTGTGTTTGTGTGTGTCTGTGTGTGTTTGTGTATGTGTTTGTGTGTGTCTGTGTGTGTGTCTGTGTGTGTTTGTGTGTCTGTGTGTGTTTGTGTGTCTGTGTGTGTTTGTGTGTGTTTGTGTGTGTTTGTTTGTGTCTGTGTGTGTTTGTGTATGTTTGTGTGTATCTGTGTGTGTGTCTGTATGTGTTTGTGTGTGTCTGTGTGTGTCCATGTGCACACCTGTGTGCCACAGTGTGAGTGTAGGGTCAGAGGACTGCCTTCTAGGGTCTGTCCTCTACATCCATCATGAGGTCTCAGGGTTTGAATTCAGGGTGTCGAGCTTGGTGGCATGTACCTTCACCTGCAAAGCTGGCACGGGCCTAAGTGGTTTTCATTAGGCAAGAATGCCTGTAGCCTTACCCATCGTGTCTGAAGCTACCTTCCCTGGGTGAGTTGTTTTCTTTTTTTAAAGGATCTGATCTTGCACTGACTGTTCTTCTAGAGGTCCTGAGTGATATTAGGAGGTGTGGCCTTGTTGAAGGAAGTGTTTGACTGGGGGTGTGGGCTTTGGGCTTTCTTTCTTTCTTTTTTAAAGATTTATTTATGTATGTGAGTACATTGTGGTTCTCCTCAGACACACCAGAGAAGGGCATTGGATCCTATTACAGATGGCTGTGAGCCACCACGTGGTTGGTGGAAATTGAACTCAGGACCTCTAGAAGAAGAGCCAGTGCTCCTAACCACTGAGACATCTCTCCAGCCCAGGGCTTTAGGGTTTCAAAATCCCAAACCAGGTCTCTCCAATTTCTCTCTCTCTCTCTGCCTGAGAATCCAGAGGTAGAACTTTCGACTCCTTCTCCAGTTCCCTGTCTGCCTGCATGCTACCATGCTTCCCGCCATGCTGATAACAAACCAAACCTCTGAAATGCTAAGCCAGCCCCAATGAAATGCTTCTCTTTGTAAGAGCTGCTGTGACCAACGGCATCTCTTCACAGCCGTAGAACACTAAGACAACCTCTTAGGTACTTCCCTTGTTCTCCTGGGCCCACTTTATCGAGGCTGGGGCCCAAGTCCCACTGGGCCTTTAGACCCTGTCTCCCATGTGCAAATGCTCTCACTACTCTCACTGCTATACCTGTACCTTTAGGTCTTGTTGACCTTGACTACAACTCAGGCTCATTAGGATTCCAGAACATTCCGGATATGAATACACACAGAGGATGCTGCTTTGCTGATTCCAGTCACTTACCTGACATCTTGCATTAGTTTCCTGGAATCTTCTGAGGTTTGGGGAAGGGGAGCCCTGAGGACTCTCCTGACTTCTGCTGCTTGGCCTAGAGTCTTTGGTGTTCCTTGATCTCTTTGTGATCATGGTATTCTCTTCTTTCCACCTGGTGGCATTTCTGCTGTGTGGCATTTGTTTATAGATTTATACATATGAACAGGGTTTTTGAGGTTAGGAGTGCTCACCTGTACATCAGATGTGAAGGCCAGAGTCAGCTCTGGTCCCTTCTCTAAATCTCCATTTGCTTTGTTTTTGAGGCAGAGTCTCGTTGTTGTAGCCCTGGCTGGCCTTGAACTCATAGAGATTCACCTGCCCCTGTCTTCCAAGTACTGGAGTTAAAGATACACACTGCCACTGTCTCCTGCTTTATTTATTTTTGGAGACATCTCTTTTTGAACCTAGAGCTTGCTATTTTAGCTAGATGGTGGACCCGCATGCCTCTGGGAGCTGCCTTTCCATCCTCACTCCCACTCCAGTGCTGGAGCTTCAGGCCCTCATACCCAATTTTAACTCGGATGCTGGGAATTGAATTCAGGACTTCACATTTACACAGCAAGCATTGAACCCACTGAGCCTAACACCCGAATAATATCTTATGTAATAAAATGTTTCTATGTGGTACTGGAGCTTAAGTTCTGGCCTTGTAAATGCCTCTAAGGTACACTCCCTGCCCACAGTGTGTTGGTTAGATTTGGATGTGTCCTTCTCCTTGTATAGAAATGTTTCTCAAGCTTGGAGAATTGAGAGGGAGAACCAATAGGCTATTAGTAGTGTTATGAAGTGGTATCTTATGCCTTCAGTGGAAAAATGCAACAACACTGGGCCTCTTGAACAAGGGAACCAGTATGACTAGTTTCTGCAAGCTAAGCATTGTCCAGGTGCAGTCTCTGGCTTGTATCTGTGGACAGCCAGGCTCCCTCCCTATTTTGGTTACTTGACCTTCAGATTGTGGCTTTGACCTTGGTTTATGGCATCTTCCGCTTCCTGAGCAGATGGGACTGCTCCTAGTGCCTGAAGGAGGAATGCTGAGTGTGTTTTGGAGTGTTTCATTATGTGTCTTCCCTTCTGATCAGACTTCACACAAATTCAGCCTCACAGTTCTGGAAGCCAAAGCCCCGAGTGGACCAGGGTCTGTGCCACTTGGCCTTTTAGTTTTTGGAAATTACCAGCATTCCTTGGTCTGAGGACCCTTCATGTCCAAAGCCACCAATCAATACATCTTCAGGTTTGATTTCAATAGTCATGGCTCCACCTTCCTTCTTCCTCTTGAAAGGTCCCTGGGATCATCGGCCCCGACCAGGTGCCCCTAGGTAAATTTCCATCTCTAGACTCTTCCTCCTCCTCTCCTACTCCTCTTCCTTCTCCTCCTCTTTCTCCTTTCTTTTCCTCCTCCTCTTCCTCTTCT